TGGAGAGCATTATGCTAAGTGAAATAAGCCAGTCAGAGAAAGATAAATACCACATGATCTCACTCATTTGTGGAATATAGAGAACAACATAGACTGATGAACAGGGACAGATCCAAAGACGGAGAAACAGCGATCAGACTATCAATCCCCAGAGGGAAAGTAGGGGAGGGTAAGGGGAAGAGATCAACTAAAGGAACTCTTACCATTCCCAACAGCATGGATGGACATGAAGAGCATTATGCTAAGTGAAATAAGCCAGTCAGAGGAAGATAAATACCACACGATCTCACTCATTTGTGGAATGTCTATTTTATTTTTTTGAGGAACCTGCATAATTACACACCATATTTTTTTTTAAATCCATGGTCAAAGGAAAAAAAAAATCACAATGGAAATAAGAAAAAAAGTCTGAACTAGTTGATGATGAAACTACACAAACTTGGTGTCTTTGTTACAAATATCGAATTATCCAAGAAAAATGTTTTGAACAAACAACTTTGACTAAGAGGATGGTAAACGGTTTGAATACTGGATAAAAGGCAGCATTTTAACCAGAATAATTAGCACACCATTTCCCACATATCTGCATGCCCTTTATATTCGAGTCTACCAGCCCGGTAGCCAAGTCCACACTGAAATTTCAATAACGTGTTGTTGTTTTTTCGGGGGACAGGGAGCGACGATCAATAAATACTGCTTCCCTTCCAGAGCTCTCCTGGTTTCCAATCCCATACGTCCGACATACTGAAATGTCCACCTGCATTTCTCACGTGTCGCTCAAATGTAATATCCCAAAACCGAACACCTGATTTTCCCTCCAGGACCCATTTCTCCCCAAGCTCCTCCCATCTCAGGAGAGGGCACCACTGTTCATCCAGGTGCTGGTGTCCAAAACCGGGGGGTGCCCGGTGAGTGTGGCTCAGTGGTTGATCCCAGACCCAAGAACCAAGAGGTCCTGGGTTGATTCCCCGGCGGGGCACACGCCAGGGTGTCCACTGGGTCCCCAGCAGGGGGCGCGCAGGAGGCGGCCAATGGGTGATGCTTCTCTCTCATCCATGTTTCTCTCTCTATTCCTCTCTTTTCCTCTCTCTTTAAAAATCAGTAAAAAAAAACCACATATTTTTTTAAAACCCAGGGCACACCTGCCAGGATGGAGGACCTAGAAAAGACAGCCTCCCGCCATAAGCCAGGAACCTGGACAGAGCTCCTTACACACGATGCTCAGACGCTGGACTCCGCGCAGCTGGGCTGTGACCCCCAGACAAAGGCGCCGGGCCCTCCACACCTGCGGGGACTTCCGGATAGGCCC